CTCGCCGCCAATCCCGCAGCTCCAGCCTTGGCCTCCAGTTTCAATACTCGCCCCGACGGCTCCACCGGCGCACCGCCGGACCCGGTTCTTCGGCCGCTTATCTTACAGGTGAAATTGAACATCCACTTGAGTTGTGATTTAGATTGGATAGGGTTTATAATTAGATTTATTTTTTTATGTTTTGGAAATCTTTATTTTTTGTCCACTTGTCACATTGGTAAATCCTACCATTTTGATATTATTGGGCATTAATGTTATTTTGATGGTGTGGGAAAATAGTAAAAATGTTATTTGGTGTACTTATTTCACTTGAAAGTCTCTAATTTATGTTAAAGTCTAAGGTAACTGGGGAACATGTTTTTAGGTTAATTGTACTTCTTAATTCTAGTTGATCATGTACTCAATTATTTTAAAGATGTTGATGCTTTGCCTTCATAATATGATTGTGTACAAAAACCCATAATGCATTATTGATTACTTTTTTTATTTTATTTTATTATTTTTTATAATTATCTTATATCACCTAAATGATTGATTAATTTACTATTTTTTGTTAACTTGGAAGGTTTTAATTATAATGGAGGGTCAAGGAGAAGAAGGGAAAAACTATCAATTCGTTTTTTAAGCCAAACGAGCATACGTCGACAAGTGGAGATCATCCTTCAAATGAAGATGTTGCCACCTCTATTGATGTGAGCTCTCTTGAACGTGACCCGGTATTGCGTACTTCAATATGGAAATGTCCCGTCGATCAAAGAGATGAAATGACAGGTTAATTCGTCTTGTTTTGACTCTCTTTGTGTCTGCGACAACTACAGAGCGAGCTTTTTCGGCTATAAAACTTGTCAATACAGTTCTTCTTAATAAGATGAAAGAATATTTTTTGGTGCATTCAATGGTTATTTACATTGAAAGGGAGTTGGTCGAAAAGATTAGTAATGATACTTTTATCGCCAAATTTGAATCTAGAAATAATCGGAGGTTGCAGGTTCATCAGCCCCAGGTATTTTAAAGTCCTAGCTCCGCCCCTGTAACGGGAACATCTCGTGCTTCAACAGAAGCCAGCTTGACCAACTTATCAGGACCAATCGAGCCCACAGGGTCTCAACTGATGGGAATGGCTGACACGAGCTTTAGCTCAAATGGACGATTGGAACCCGACGACGCTTTACTGCCTGGAGCAATTTTGGTAAGTATGCCTCGAACACATACAAGACACGTACTGACGGAGGCCGACTTCGCAGGCTTAAATGTCTCAGCAATACTCAGCTTAGGCTCACGCTTACAACGTCGCCGATATGAAGGCCTGCAAGAGGATAAAATTTCGAAATACCTCAATATCATTACGAATAATAATATCGTTGATGAAAAAACTGTGTGTGCTATTTGTCTCGACGATTTTTGTGGAAAGGATATGCAGGTTGCAATAGTGGATGGGTGCGGGCATAAGTTTCACGCTTGCTGTCTCAAGAAGTGGCTCCGAAGGAAAAACATTTGTCCTCTCTGTAGAAGGATTGCCATTAGCGTGCGAGAAGATTTTTTATATTTTGTTTAAATCATGTATCTATTAAAATCTTCCAAAAACTATTATAATAAAATATTTATTTGTTTGCCTATCAAATCATGTATCTATTAAAATCTCCAAAGAAAGGGCCTGATTTTCTTTTGGATTTTTATGTCGCGATGATTATGAGTATTGGTTTGAGTTACATGTTCCTGATTGTTAATATGTATCTGCTTTGATTTGTGCTTCTTGTTTTTTCTTGAGTGTGTGTGCATGCGTTTGTTCATGATTGGAGTGTTGAGCTTATGACTTCTCCTTGT